GTGGTTAGAATTGCATAGGGGATTAACGAATAAACATGCTGAGACACATGCGACTTCGAATACTACACATGAAGGGCTATTGCTCAAAATTAATTACGCACCAACAATACGACTACATACGACGCAGTTGACATGACATAAGACGTATATTGAACACAAGATTGAACACAAGGATCAAAATCCGAGACATAATCTAATAATGTTTATATTTTGTTAGTCTGTACATTCTGTGAACTGAAGGCAATTGCAATTATACTCAAATAATAAACTCATCAAAATGTGTCGTTCTATTTTGGTAAATAACGGGCGACGGTTTGACCATTATTGTATGTTATAAATCATTTATCAGATTTAGATGCTTTTAAGACGTCATAACTTTACATTATCACACGATAATTTAAGCCTCTATTTGCAAGTAAATTCTTATATTTGTTTAAATATCATGACATCGACTAGTATATACGCCTATATATTTGGCTCGACATAGAATAGTCAGTCCGGAGATTAAAATTATTGCAGTACGCTTCAGCAGAAGTAAATAATTTTGTATAATATTTAATTTTCATGAGCATTATCTGTCATTCAGTATGTCATCAATTCACGCAGGTACATCCTTGTTTATGGTAGATTTCAGGCACATATTATACATACAATTTCAGCTGAAAACGCACAACATCCAGCAAATTGAGAGCGTATTTTAAATCAAATGCAACAATTCGAATAATGATTTTGCTGTTACTATTCATTTTGAACGCAATGCAATATTCACAATACGGTAGAGAAATAGGTAACTATCGATTGAATTTTACACTTAATATACACGCCATATTGTTTTGTTTATTTAATAACGAAATAACAATACAATTTGTCTCTCATGTAAGACTAAAATGATGTTTCTAGTCCGAAGAATAACAAACGGAAGCGATGCTGCTTTTATTATTTTTGTCGATCTGCACATGCGTTAACTAAATATTGCACTGCATTTTTCTTTTAGGTATGTTGGATGTCATATTTTACGAAACAAATACAATACCACACTCTATGATATATTAGTTATGGTCATTATACCGAATGTACTAAATGCAAGCCCCCCCCCAAAAAAAAAATAAAAAAAAATACAGAGTTAGTATAAATATCATACCCAAACATAGACAACAGTTACAATCTGCACGAACAAAACAATTACACAACATAATAAGGTCTCCCCAAATAGATTGATTTCATGGTATACATAATGTGAAGTCAGATACACGTCATTTATCTACAAGCCTGAATGAGTTGTGAAATATATACCAATATATTGCAGAGAGTGTGGCATTGCTGTTAAGGTGTTGAAAATTAATGATAGTAAAATTAAAATAAGTTATCTTGCCAGTAATAACATGGTAGGTAGCAAGGCATTGGAATATAATTCAAGGCACAGTTACTAGTATGAAGCACAAGATTCAGATTTCTTATTAAGCTCAACTGAATATATCATTGGAATATAACTAAAGTTAGGATTGTTGATGGAAAGTACATTATCTTTATATCGCACGGTGATAGATTAAAGAATTTAGTTTGTTTGTGAAATTTGCTTTTAACTAGCTTCAAACAAATACATTAATAGGTCTGTCAGAATAAAACCAGACTTTGTCGCCTTTGAAATACCAATAATTTGTTTAAAAAATATATCTTCCAAACATGGAAAACATATCTTCCAAACATGTCGTGATAAGATGTGGCAGAATATGACATATTATTATTACACTGATCACAACTTCGTCTCATATGTTATACAGCGCCATTTCAAAATTATTTGAATTTTGCATGATATATCGGCAAATCAATGAAAAGCATTCGATCATATTGACAAATTTGTACCCTTTCCGCTAATCATATTAACATTTAGAGTCATACATACAAACTATAAAAGACAAGGGCAAGTGCAATTACACTTTGCGACGTCTGTAGGTTATTACTGAATTTTGTGACCATACACGTGCGACTAATGGAAGTATTAATAGGTCTATGTTTGCAGCAGTAATCGACCATCACTGAAGGCGTTGCTTCAGTGCACAATCCTCGTTCGTTCATTTATCTAATTTAAACTGGGATTTCATCAATAACATGAAGAAAGATGGTGACTTTGTGAAAGAATTACACAAATTAGAACATAATTACACCTCTGTAGGAATTTCCTATCGATTTATTAAACGGAAATTCGTGTTTTCTGACCAATATCTTTAGTTTCAATATTGTGCGTGCCTAAATGAACTATACTGCTAATACTGTACTGTAATTCAAGCTATGCACTTTAAAGCATTTTCTATTAAGGATGAGACACTGGTTCGTGGGCGCTTATATTCAAACCTGTATTCGTTTCCATAGTGAAAATGGAATTTGACTACCTACATGTTATATATTTTAGTTAGCGCTGTGTGTGAAAATGTTTTTTCCCAAACTAGTGAAGTGTATGCGTGTTTCTGTCGTTTTAATGAGTTCATCGAATAATGCGAAACGTACAGTTATTGGTATACTAGACGAGAATCTTCATTGAAAAAGTTAACTGTTCCATTGATCCGGCGTCTGTTAGACGTCTATGAAATGAAAGGCAGGAAAACGGCACATATGCATAAACGTAATTTCTCGTCTTTCTACTCCTCTGGAAACCTATTTGAAAAAATATTTTTTTATGGTAATTTGCTTGGATAATACTAGTATCTT